TCACTCCCTTGAATCATGTTCTGTTGCTCTCCCAGCTGAGCTTGGGGGCATCTAAAGAAGCTGTGCTTGTGAGAGCACCAGGCTGCATTCCACCAACTGTGTGTGCATCTTTCTGGATTCCCCTCTCTAATAAGCTGTCTTGCTTTCTTCCAGCTGAATCGAACCCTGAAGAAGATGGGCCAGAGACCCTGAAACTTCTACTAAAACTGTCACCAGGCCGGCTAAGGATATGCATGAAAGGAAGTGGGTGGGGAGAGTACTGTGTGCTGCAGGGGAAGGGAGTTGAAGATTCTGGCACTCTGGGAATCTCCTATGACTGAGGGTTTTTTTACTTAGCTAAGCAGAGTGTTTGGATCTTGCCATCATATGGAGGACTGAGATATCCTAATAAACAAGTAAAATTCTTCTGTGTGTTTAGTACCTGATACTGTTTCCTCCCTTCTTTGGTGGGAGCTGGATGTGTTCAGGGGGCAGGTACTAGTCACATTCTGTGTCCAGTGCAACCTCCCTTGGGGGCAACTGGATAGGAGGCAGGCCTTTTTATGCTACCTTAACTCATGTACATAGTGAACAGGAAAGGTCATAGGGTTGGTTGCTAGCATTCTTCCTGCTTGTCTGTCTTACAGACAGAGAACAGAGGAGATGAAACTCAAATGATCCCTTGCATCTGTTTCTCCCCCGACCCCTCTACCCGTTGCACTGCAAAGCGCTTAAAACACTCCAGTCCACACCCTCTTCTGCAGCTTTCAAGCAGAGACTTATTTAGAGTGTGGGGTTCTGCTTATTTTTACCTTAGATATGACAGGAATGTTAATCCCTGACTCCTGACAAGGTCTGGTTTTACTCGAGACTCTCAGCCATCCTGGAAAGTGTGTGGTGTGAGCTCTCCTCCCACAGTTGACAGGCCAGCAGTGATGCTTCCTTTCTCCAAAATACCGGAGAAAATTTTACTTGATTTAAACCTCCCAAATGCTTTGATTCAGGCACTGTAACTTTCACTGGTTCTGCTATTACTGTGGCTTTTTTCCAGGCAAGTTTTATTATGGCTTCTTTAATGTGAAAAAAAACCCAGCAGAAAAGCTTTTTTTTTTTTTTATTGTGAATTTAACTTGCACAAGCTGCACAGGTGTCACTTGTGGGATAAAGTAGTAAGATTCTCCCCTAACTTTTTTGCAGGTTATTTTTTAAATAGTTTGAATGTCTGAGGGGAAGCAGCAGGTGCAAGGGAAGACCTATGAGTAATCAGAAAGTTGCACAAAGCATGTTCCTAGATGCCATCTGTCTGTACCCCTCCCCTTCATTCCTCTCTTCGGGCGGGGGTTTCTGTAATCAGACTATACTTATCTTGGGCAGGAGGCTATTTGGAGGTCTCTAAGCAGCCTTCATTCTTGTGTTTGTGGGCATGTCTACAGTGTGTGAGACCAACAATAGGCTCTGGTCACTCCCCACTACCGCAGGGAGCTCATGCTCTGAGAACACAAGTGGTACCCAAACTCCCTGTTCTTCCCCTCATTGGTCACCCTTGCTGGTGCTCTTTCGAACTGCCTTTGGTTGGTAGTTTCTTGTAGGCATGATCATTGATGGTACACATGGGTTTGGAAGGGTCTGAGGTGGATAGACCTTTGGATCAGATCTCCAAGGAATTCAGGTGCCTGAATCGTACTGAAAGCAATGGGAGTTTCACCCTTCTGAGGGTTTGTGCGCTCAATGCTGAGGGCTTAAACGGTATGTTTACCAAGAGTAGAAAATGATTGTGGCTGCAAACAGTCCTTTGATCATTTAGGTGTGGTCTAAACATAGTTCTGATTGCAAAATTCTGGGTGTTCCTGCACTCAAATCTGCTTTGTAGAGGCAAAGTCCCTTCTTCCCCATGGCACTGTCCCACCACCTCTCTGAATAGAAGACCCTATTGTAAGCAGGACTGTCAGCTGAAGGTGCATGCAGATATGCCCATTGCCTTAGCCTTGTCCTCTATGGCAGCTGTACTTTCCTGCTGATGAAGTGGCTGCTTATGGATCCAGCAGGTGTGCCTGTGCTCTAGCAGTTTCTCTTGCTGCTGCCTGACCACTAAATTGCTGGTGTAAGAAGCCCCTCCAATGTAGACAAGATTGTAGTTCCCATCACTAGTATCATTCCCAAGATGGGGGCTAAGTTAGGGTGAAGGTGTTAAGAGCCTCCTCATTCCAAAACATCCAGCTTTTCTTTGCTGTCCTTGCATTTGTCAGCAAAGGTCACGAGTCTACAGTACAGTAAGGTACATCTTGGGCAGAATAATCAAAACCGCAAAATGGGTGACACCTGGCTGGATGACAAGCACTACAGAGAAGGATCTGGGAGTCTTGGTAGATCACACACAATGCACAAGTCTGCAGTGTGATGCAGTTTCACTACAGGTGAATACAGTTTTGGGATGCATCAATAGAAGCATTAGGTCCAAGAGAGCGTGATAGTACCTCTTTACTCATCACTGGTTGGGTCTCATTTGGGGTATTGTGTGTAGTTTTAGGTTCCCCACTTTAAAGACACAGAAAAGTTGGAGAGGGTCCAGAAGCAGGTGAAAAAATAAGGGCTTGGAAGGTAAGTCATACAAGGAGAGGTTGAAGGAAATGCATATTCAGCTTGCAGAAAGGGTGCTTAAGAGGGGATATGATAGCAGTTTTCAAATATCTGAAGAGCTGTCATGAAGAAAAGGGAGAACACCTTTTCTGTCTTGCAGAGAGTACAACTTGGACCAATGGCTTGAAGCTGCAGCATGGATTTAGATTGGATATCAGCAAAAACTTCACTGTTGAAATAGTGAGGCAGTAGAATAGACTACCTAGGGAAGTTGTGGATTCTCCATCACCTGGAGATCTTCAAGAAGAGGTTGGGCAGGCATCGATCAGGGATGATTTTAGGTGTAGCTGTCTGTTCTACTGCAGTATTTCCCATGCTTCTGGGCTTTGCTGATAGCCACATGGGCCCAGGAGGGAATATTTCCCCTCCTGCTGCTACGTGTCAGGGTTTGTTTGGTTTTTTTAAGCCTTCCTCAAAGGCATTGAGTGTTGGCTGCAGCTGAGGCTGGGGATTTTGAGTGAAGTGTGCCAATGCTCCTGCTGGGACTTTAAATTTGGGGGTTCCTGGCCCAGAGGTTCTTGCCCGTCTGCTCAAGTTCAAACCGATTGCCGTATTTGGGGTCAGAAAGGAATTTTACCCCATGGTCAGATTGGTATGGACTGGGGGGGTTTGCCTTCCTCTGTAGCAGAGGGCTTGGCCCTCTTCCTGGGATCTCTCGAGTGTGTTTTAACGTTTGCAGCAGCAGAACATTGGCCACCATGGTCCCCCTGCTTTACCTGTGTCAGGTTAGGGTGTTGTCAGGGTTGACTCTGTAGTTTTCATGTGAGGTTAGACAATGGATTTATATGGGGTGCCTAGGAGAGGGATGATCCTGCCTCAGGCAGGGGGTTGGACTAGATGACTTATGGAGGTCTCTTCCAGCCCAGGTTCTCTACGATTCTTTAGCTAGCAGTGATATGCAGCAGGGGGACACCTAACTTGCAAAGCCCATTTCTTCCAAGTCGCAGACTAATGTAGAACTTAAACTGGAATTTTGCTGGCTGCATTACTCTCTTTTTAATCTGGCATGTAGGAGCATAGAGACTAAATGCATTTTCACATTCTCTTACACCCTTATACAGTTATTCACACTTTGTTCTCCAATATTTGAATATGCCTTTTCCTCAGCTTGAGTCTGTAAAACGGTTTCCTGGTGATGCCTATAAAGTATCTGTTACCCATTTGCAGCCAGTGCGATTGGCTTTCTGCCTCCTATTAGAGACTACTGAAGGTTAACTGATGTGACTGGCATTTTTGGATAGAAGCCAAAGGAACTGCAGTTCTTTGCATGGGGTGGAAAGATAGGCTCAGCTATTCTCAGTGCCTGGCACTGTTTGGAGCTAGAGGAATGCAGGGCATTCAGTAACATCAACAGTCCAAGTGCTGGAATGTGGCTAGAGCTGTTCCATGGGGCGGAGTGATGCTTTGTTACCTTAGCCTGGCCTGTTGGACAGGAGTCTGGCTGCTGGTGTACTTAGCATGGAAGCAGAGCAGTCTGGAGTGAGGCAGTTCTGATCAGTGGAACCTCAGCGTGAGGTCACTCCCTTTCCACTGCTGTTGCAGACCTGCAGGCAGGAAGGGAGATGGTCCTGCTTCAAGCAGATTCAATTATCTGCTGGATAAGACAGTTCTCAGTCCATTGTGTTCCTGTTCCTAGTTAGGCTGAGTAGACAAAATGCCAACCTGTTTGCCATGGTTCTGTGATGTTGAGCAGTCAGTAGCATCATACCCTGGGTATAAAGATTATTCTCAAGGCTGAAGGTGCTCCCCCTTCCCCCACATTAAGTTATTTTAAGCTACACACATAGCTGTTTCCTGTGTCATGTAGTGGGTGCTGGCTGACATAATGAGTACTTAAACATATAAATGTGGCAGAGAAAAGTGGATTTTTAGCATGATCAAAGGGATGCAACTTGAAGTAATGGGGTGAAACAGAGCTTGTTCTAGTAATAACCTATCAATTCAAGCTGCTGAGAGTTTATTTTGCCTTTTCCTCTGCCTCCTACATGGGCTTCCGGTAGAATGCAGTGTGCAATTCAAGGTCTTCATTTTTATCTTCAGAGCACTCGCTGTCCTGTCGTGCTCAGTTGCTGCACTTCTCAGCCAAGTTTGAATTCTCTGCAGCAAGGGTGTGGTTTGTATGGGAGTTGCAGCTTTCTCAGGTGCTGATCCAGGATCATAGAGCAAACAAATGAAGGGCTGGGTTCAAAACCGGGCTCAGGCACCCCAGAGTGGGAGAGGTCCAAAATTGCACTCCTGAAAGCCCCTGTTCAGTTGTTGCCTAGGATCCAATAGTTGATGGACTTCAGGTCCCCAGGTTCCTAAAGCTGCACCTCTGTGCATATGCCAAACTGCTCCAGTTTTGATTAGTGCTGAGTGACTCAGGGCCTAGCTCATGCCTGAGCATGACTATCCAGATAGGAGATACTGCTCTGCCCAACTCCCCTGAGGCACTCCCAGAGCGCACCTTGCATGGCTACAGGATTGAGCTTCCTTCAGAACGCTTGGCACTCTTCCCCAACTGTTTTCAAGGAAAGCAGGCCCAAGATACACCCAGGAAGTGGGACACTGAGGCTCAGAGCACTCTTCTGCCTGGGGTACTTCAACCCCCCCCAGGCTGCAAGCTATTCTGAGTGCAGGCGTTCTTTCTTCTCTCCTGCCACAACTGTGCCACTGCACAGAGAAGGATTTAAGATTCTCTGGGTCAGACAGCAAGCATGAAGCAGTGTGGCTGTATAGCATAGTGGTTAGGGCACTCCCCTAGGGGATGGGTTCTGATCCCTGCTCTGCTGAGGGACCAGGCTCCCCATGTGCTGCACAGAGAGCTGAGGTGCCTCTCACTGCATTCTGGGCCCCAACATAGAGGCCAGGTACTCACAGTTAGGTATTTTGGCACCTTTTTGGAGCCTGAGCCCTTTATTGCATCTAGGAGTCTCCCCCAGTCTTTATCACTGCCTCCTTCAAGTCCAAAGCCTGCTTCAATGATCTTGCTTTTGCCAAACTAAAGACCAGTTCAGTATCCAAATACCATATACATTCAAAAAAACCCAAATCCTGTAGAGAGGCAGAGCCGCACGCGACAGATGTTAGTCATATCCCTTGATGCACTGCTGAAAGATGTTCAGATACCACAGTGATGAGTGCTGTGTAAAAGCCAATTAAAACATCAGGAAGTATTTACTACCAGTGCAATCTAATAAGTTATGGAATAGTCTCCCCAGGAAAGCAATGGAAGCCCCATCACACGGGCAATTTAAAATGAAACTGAATAAAACTCCAGAGAATGCACGGCAGCAAACCTTGCTTTGGTCAGGATGTGGAGGGCCTATGGAAAGGGCTTGATCAATGGGCTGGTGCCCCTCTCTGCTTCCTACCTACCTGTGAATGGTGTGGAGTGCTTTGCATGGGATGGAAAGACACATGGAGGCAAGATGCACAATTCCTTGGTTCTGAAAATGGGGTGTCTATAGGTCAGAAATCAGTTGAGGGTGTGTTCACCCCCGTCACCAGCATCTCCTCCTCCCCACAGCCTGCCACAGTTCCCTGGTGTTTGTCTCCTTGCAGAGATGTTTGGAAGGTCAGGAGCTGTATTTACAGTTTCCAGGCATGGGAGCTGTTTGCATTAATTGGAGGCTTACAGCTGTTTGGCATTCCTGTGGCAGAGCGCTCTGGTTTTTTGGAGAAGTCTCCCCTCCTGCCCCATTTCCCAGCTATAATACCACAGAAGGCCTAAACCCTGCCCCTAAACTACCTTTGACCCCATGGCCCAATACACAGAATGGATGGTATTACAACATTGTTACAGGATCTGTGAGTTATATTTCCCAGAGGCAGGGGTATCCAATACAATGGGCATTTAAATAGAATGGTGCAGTTCATTTTGTCTGTAGGTGTCCCACATTGTAATATCCCAGAAATACTGCTGGAAGTTCGCATACTCAGGATCTCTTTCTGTCTGTGCTACCGACTTCCGGAGTAACCCCCTAAACAGGCCACTTTACCGCTGTAAACGAGGACAGTTTGCTTGGGGCCTTTTGTAAAATGCTTGCAGATCTCAGGCTGGGCAGCACTCCAGAACAGCTAACAATGATTAAACTCAGCCCCTGGATCTTTGTGCTATGTGAGGTGGTTTTATACTCCACCTTCTGAAGGAAGGGAATATTTCCAACGCATTGGAAAGCAATGTTTATGTGCAAGGCAGAACACTGTGGGGATCCAGCAGACTGGTGAAGGATGTGGCTTACAGTGGTATTCTTCATTAATGCTAGGTTGAGACTTAAAACATGCTGTATCAGGACATTCCGTCTTCCCCTAGCAGCTGCTTAGACTAGTCACAAAACAGGCCCTGTGCATGAAGAGGCAGGGGTAGCAGTTGCCTAAGGCTCCCAAACCTTCACTAATGTTTTATGAGTGACTGCACCCTTAGAAAGAGGGAGGTTCTGGAGAATCTCTCTGGTTTGCCTATTGTGGCAACAGCACCTAGGGCAGACCCTGGGTGGAGCAACGGGGGTACATAATACAATCCGGCTGTCCAAGCCTCCCACTCTCCTCTCCTTGAGCTCCAAGTGCTCCACAATATCCCCATTGTTCAGTCAGCAGCGCCTGTTACGCACAATCCTGCTGTTCTCTCCAGCTGTCCCAGGGCAGCGGCTGGGATGAGGCTATCCATCCGCACCAGGTTCCTGACGAATGGAAGAGCGAAGCTTGCTGCTCCGTCTGCTGTGTGAGCTGGGGTGGAGGAAAAGAGCAGTGCCACAGACCTGCATGCCCAGTCTGAGTCACGGCTCACAGGTCTGACCAGTGCAGGAGCTGGTTTCCTGAGCGCTCCAATGTACCTGTGCAGAGGAGAGGCACGTATATGAGAGGCCAATGCTGTCTGCTGCCAGGCACCATGGGGAAAGAATATCAGGGCAGTGCCTGGAGTCCCCTTAATCCAGTGGTTCTCGATTTGTTTAGACTCAAGGCACCCCACAGAAAATGTCAGCTCCTAGTTTTCATTCATTTTTTGATTATGAAAAAATACAGCAATTTTTCTTTTTGCAAACAGCTCACAAAGGCCACAACAGGTCAGACCGTTTTCAACGCTATGATTCTTATTTGAAATCATTGAGTTGATCTTGTGAATCATGTGTGAGTACCTAACAGTGCTATCAATGTGTGGCACCCCTGAAAGGATATCAAGGCACCCCAGGGTGCCATAGCAGCCTGGTTGAGAATCATAGCCATAGACACAGACAGTAGGATAGATTTGCATCTTATAGCCTAACTAAATCAAAGATGCAAATCAGAGTCAACATCAGCGCTATTGTGAGCCTGTGCGCACTTTATCAGATGCTGTGAAAGGACATGCACAGAGCTGTGTATATAATTTACACCAGTGATTCTCAACCAGGCTGCTGTGGCACCCTGGGGTGTGCTCTAAGATCTTTCCAAGGGTGCCATGAGGAGAGCACATAATGTTAGCCCTGTTAAGCATGCACACAGAATTCACAAGATATAAACCCAGAGATTTTAAATAGGAATCATAGAGAAGTGGGGCTGGAAGGGACCTCCAGGGGTCATCAAGCCCGAACCCGGGCCTGAAGCAGGATCTTCCCTACCTGAAACCATCCCACGCAAATCCAGAATCTAACTGGGTTGTAAAACTACTGCCAACCCTGATGCTACACAAGACATAACTCCCTCACCTGTCACAGGTGAAGTAGGGGGGGTCTATGGTGTTAAAAAAATTCTGCGCTGTTGTGATCTTTCCGAGTTCTCTGCAATAGACGAACGGCTCTGGTATTTTTCTGTAGTCAGAAAATGAATGAAAACTTAAGAGCTGGCGTTTAACAAGGGGTGCCTGGAATCTATGAGTGGGGGCTGGAGTCCATGGGCAGGGAGGAGGGCTGAGTATTAGGAGGGGTGCCTGGAGGTGGCGAATGATGAGAAATGCTCATGTTGATGTGTCTGCACGGCCCATACCACCCACCTGCCTGTCTCTGCTTGGCACCCATGAATGGCATGAATTCCAGCTGGGTGCTGAGACTGACACATTTCCTACACACCCACACATGCTTACACACACATGCATGCACATATGTTGCAGCTATACAGGCAGTGATTTGAACCCGGGTGAAAAACTGTCTTTTGAGCACAGATGATGAGGAGGGAGGGAGGCCCTTGGGCTTCCCAGGCACTCCCCAGACTCTACAAGCATACATGCATGTGCACACACTGTACACAAATGTACTGTACACACAACACAGACACATACATGCACACTGGGGTCGCACACACCACACAGACACATATGCACACAAACGGGGTGCACACACTGCCCACACCCACACCACACTCAAATACACACAGTGGGGTCACACACTGCACATAAATACACACATACCATACACACACACACTGTGTGTGGACACACCACACTAGGGTGCCACACACACACTGCAGGCACATGCATGTGCACACACCCCACGCACACGCACACACTGGGGTGGCGCACACACACTACACACACCATACCCACTAACTGGCATCCTGAATACAGACACCACATCCATGTGTGCACGCACCCCAGGTAGCAAACACACACGCTGCACACATATTCATACACCCACACTGCACAGACACCACACCTGTGCAAGCATGCACACACACAGAGCAGATACACACGGGCACCCCCCCCACACACACATTCACCTCCCCCCTGACACACAGACACTACATCTGTGCACGTGCACACACTGGGGTGGTGCGCACACATACACATGCATGCCGTACATATATACTTATACACACACACACTGCACAGACACCACATCTGTGCACGCACACACACCCCACAGTCACACATGGGCACCTCATGCACACACATACATACACCCTGCTATCCCACACACACAGGCACCACACTTGTGTGCGCACACCGCACATACACATGCACATACAGCGCAGACGCCACACCTGCACATGCGTGCACGCACACACACATATACTCACACCCGCATCCCCTCCACAGACACACGGCCACCGCACCTGTGTGCACACACCACACATACACCGCAGACGCCACACCTGCACGTACCTGCACACACACACGCATATACTCACACCCGCATCCCCTCCACAGACACATATGTGCACCGCACCTGTGCGTGCACACACTGCACACGTACACACACCCGCGCGCACACATGCATACACTCACCCCCCCACCGTAGACACACACGGGCACCACACCCATGTGCGCATACACACATTGAACACACACACACACACACCACACCTGCACGCACACACAGGCATACACTCCCCTCTCCCCGCCCCCCTAGACACACCAGGGCACCCCCCCCAACCTGCACACGCACACACATACGTACATGCGGGGGGTGGGGTCCCGTGGCCCCGCCCCGCGCCGCCCCTCTCCCGCCGGCTGAGGCAGAGGCCGAGGCCGGGCCCGGGGGCGGCGCCGGGCGGAGGCTGAGGCGGCGGGAGCGAAGC